CTATCAAGTGGGCTAAAAATTTTATTTTTTTAATAAATTTGGATGGATTGTGATAGGTCAAATATTTGATTTTTAAAAAAAATTTGGTAAATAGTGGTGAGCTCAAATTTATTTGTTTCAAATGGACTTAATTTTTTAATTATTTTAAGTAAATAAAAATATGAGCCTAACATTTTTATTTTTAATTTGAGAGAATTACACTCAGACCCTTTAAGGTTTGTCATTTAATCACTCATACTCCCTGACATTTGAAATATTACACACAAACTCCCTTAGGTTTGTACGCGTGTAACACTTATATCTTTGTTATAAATATATTCGTTAATAAATTACATTTAGACTCCCCTAAAATTTGTGGGTATATAATACTTAGACCCTTTAAGTTTAAAATATTAAACTTATACCAAAAATACTTCAATTAAATATAAAATATGAAATATTTTAAATTTTACAATCAAAATTCATGTTATATTGTATCATTTATTGAAATAAAATTAAAAATAAAAATTTAATTTTTTCTTAAAAAAATAGTAATTAATATACAATTATACTATCTATTAGAATAAAACTAAAAAAATCAAACAATGGGTCTAAGTCATTCATAATAGAATATAAATTTTACATCTAAAATTCATGTTCTATTATGTCATTTATTGAATTAAAATCAAAAATAAAAATTTATTTTTTACAAAAATAACGTAGTATATATTTATATTGTCTATTAGAACAAAACTAAAAAATTAAATAAGGAATCAAACTGTAATAGACACAATATCTTTTAGATTTAATTGGGGTAGTTTGGTATTTTAATTTGGTCGTTTAAATAACTAAATTAAATTCTAATAGACAATATAATTGTATTCTAATTACAATTTTTTAAGAAAAAATTAAATTTTTATTTTTGATTTTATTTCAATAAATGATACAATAGAACATGAATTTTGGTTGTAAACTTTAAAATATTTGATATTTTATATTTAATTGGAGTATTTTTGGTCTAAGTATAATATTTTAAACTTAAATGGTCTAAATATTATATACGCACAAATTTTAGGGGAGTCTAAGTATAATTTATTAATGGATATATTTATAACATGGGTTTAAGTGTTACGCGTATACATACCTCATAGGGTTTGTGTGTAATATTTTAAATATCAGGGGTCTGAGTGATTAAGTGACAAATTTCAGAGGATCTAAATATAATTCTCCCTTTAAATTTTTAGTGAACAACCGAACTAATAAAAAACAATTGACCGGGGGGAGACTTGCCCACCCTGGCCCATGCCTCCCTCCGCCTTATCCAAGGAAGACCGAAATTTTGTTGTCCCTAACTGATTGCCCTGTTACTCCTGTGCTTGAATGAGGTTAAATTCCATCCAAATACTCTTCTTGTCTTCCTGTGTCCTTGTGCTCAAGTGTCACAGGCCTGTTGAGCACAATTTGGCTCATCTCTTCATTTATCCGAGTGGTTGCCTCTTTCTGCAGGGATCATGTTGGTTGACATTTAAATCTCTCTCTTGCGGGATTTTTTGAATTCTGTTGAAGCCTTCTCTGGTAGCATTGATTTTCTACGGTTTTTTTTTGAAAATTATTACGCATTAACTTCAAAATCTTTGATGTTCTAGCCATCGTCATCGACTTTAATACCAATTGTTACGTGCACATTTTTAATGGATTAAAAAAAATAAAATAGGAGGAATATAAGACTATCACAAATATCAACTATATTTTTCATTCATTCAACGTCTTTAAATACAAATAGATAATATCTAGTTACTAAATATATTGACCACACTATTAAGATAACTAACTAAGAAACCTATTAATTATATACCACTACCCATTAATCAATTCAAACTCCTATTACTAACTTATAAAAAAAAAATTTGCATGTAATATTATTGTTATGAACCCATGAGTAGAAAGTACCGTTAAAAACTGGCTTGCAAGATAATGGTGTCAAAGAATTCATATTCACACATCTAGTCATAGTTTTTTAACTGATATGAGATCGTAATATTTCACCACATTTATGAAACCGACGTCCGCGGCGGCCTAATATATCGACACTGACCCAATGATAGCAATTTTTTTTTTTTTTGACGATTTCACTTACCTATCAATATTTAACTAGTTATACCCCGTGCAATGCACGGAAAGCTTAAGTGCACTTATACCTTTTCCATGCACTTAAATAGTTCCTACAATAAGCAATTTTTTTCCTCTTGTGAGAGCAAATTAATTCATATGTCAACTACATGTTTAATCCTCCTTTTCCAATATATATCACATAAACATGCACCCCCACCACCAGTTCAACAGGTTGAACCTACTCGACAATACACCCGTCATTACTCCTCTCCCAAACACCCCCCTCCCCCCCCTCCCCCCCCAAAAAAAAAAAGAACCACCTTAAACCCATTGCCCCAACACCGCCAATAATCCCCTCCCCCCAAACAAAAGAAAAAAAAAAACCACAAAACCCAACTATGCTAACCCCTATATGCTCGAATCTTATGTGAACAAAATTATCAAAATTTGAGTGTAAAGTAACAGTACAAACAGAATCACATTCAACTCCACTAAAAACCATATCAAATTGCCATGGCCTTCAACTAGTTGAATCCTTTTATTGTGGCGTTCAACTGGTTGAAGACTTTTTGTCAAATTGTGACTTTCTTTTGTTTCAATTTCTAGATTATGTGGGTTTCACCACTCGAAAAAATCACACTTTGGACAATCAAAAAATTACATCGACTTATTATTTGTTGAAAATCTAATCATTGATTACGTGATTCTATATAATATATGCCTATTCACACTATTTTAGCCTCTTACAATTTGTTTACTATTTCATTCAATCACTAATAAACCTATTCAAGGCATATTAGGACTTCTCCAATTCTTTTCTTATTTGATTTGGGGCTCTCATGAGTGATTGCTCAACAAACTCCCCCTTATGTGTGAACCACATTGAACATAACTCCCCTTTGATTTCGATTCACTACTTTCTTTCTACACCACGTGCAAATCTGTTTTTATTAGTCACTACAATTTTTTGTCTTTCAAGAACTTACGTCTTGACCATCATCATCGATGCATCTCTACCCACGACATACATGCTCGGGAAGGATTTAATAGTCAAGTGCTTTACCAATTTATCAAGGTAAAGTCCTTTGACCCGTAAACGAATGTATGAGACACCAAATAAATATTGGGTGAATGTCGGTACAATACATTCCAAACCATTAACTTAAAATGGCTACAACTCAAGAGCCAAATTCTTAAAAACCATCTTCAGTTCGGCACACTACATAACTTGAAAAAATCAACCAAAATCATTAGACATTGATTCTAATAATATTCATTTTTTTTGTGTGTATGTGTGTGGATCTAAACACTTTATTACAAAGTCTAAGATTACGTCCTTAATGTACATAAGACGAAATTAATCCTTACGCTACGTCGTACACACATTGCCAGGATAGCCTTCTATAACATGAACATTAATTTTATCATTGCATTGTTAACAATCTATTTTGATTATTACCTTAGGAATGTCAATGTAGCTCTGATTGTTCCACCAGGATTATCAATCTGACTCTGATACCACTTATTGATTTTACGTTGCGACTAATACCAATTGTTGGTAGATAGAAATTCAAAATAGAAAAAATAATAAACCAAAACCTAAAGATATAACACGGTTCAATATAGTGTACCCATATTGGTACACCGTGTGTATATTCACAGACTAAAAAGTTATATTGTGTATTATTACCTAGAAATTTGGTTATTGATTACATGATACTCAATCATACTTATAAGGATAAAATATTATTACACAAACCTATTCAAATACAATTTGATCTCAATTTTTTCCCATCAGATGTCTAAGATACATATTCAGAGTATATTAGAATATTTGCAATTTATTTTTTTATTTGATTTTGTTACTAATAAACCTATTCAATAGATATTAGCAAATCTTCTTCTTCTTTTTTTGGTATTGTGGTCAGGGGTGTCTAGGGCTAGTTTACGGACATTTAGACTAATTCCCTCCCCGATACGATTAAAGACATATGCTGAAACTAGGGAATTCATGAAAGACAATCTCTCATAACCTGATGCCAAGAAAATTGTTAAGTTTTAAATTCAAGATGTTTGAATTTACATCTTACTTTATACATTATCACTAATCTAATTATTTTTCTATTTAATTTAGGGTTCTCACATGTGATTACCGAACAATGTCTAAATCGTGTTTTATTGATATTTGTTTATTCCATCTACAATTTATTTATTAAACAGGCAATTTTGATAAAAAAAAAAGATCTTGGCAATTAAAAACAAGAGTAAATAATATTTTAACCTCCTGAATTATTATCATTATTTTACTTTGTATCCTCCAATAAATAACGACAAACTTAAAAATCTGTCAAAGGGGAGAGTAAAACCCCAAAGAAGTTTACGCCAAATACTTAGTATCACTTTAGTTTACATCTTTTGCAACTAAATGGTTGCTAAGAAGAAAAAGAAGGTCAGCTAAAGAAAAAAAAATTGGAGATTAGGAAGGACAACATCATGGATGAGTTATTTTCTTGATTTTTGACATGCACGTGTATAATAGATAATTACTTATTGACAGTACAAACTACTCACATGCATATTTATCATAAAAAAATTAACAGTTAATATCTATTGGAGTGATATGAAACAAAATAGGTGCAATGTGAGAAATTTTATAGTTAAGTGTATAAAGTGAAACAAAGGTAATAATTCAAGGGCTAAAGTATAATTTACCCCAAAAACAATTTTGCTCCAAAGCCGTTACAATTAAATGTCGATTTCCTATCCCATCAGATAAGTATTGCACTTCTGGAAATTTTCAAAGGGACAAAAGATACCCCTTGTGGATGTATGTCCCGAAGTCTAAACTCTGAAGTCGTGTTTTTTTTTGTAGGTGAGAAGTCAATGCTAATTGAGCCAAAGAGAAACCAAACTTTTATTCACACATGGCCAGGCATACACAAATATTAGTACGTTTGATCATACATATGGATCAAAAACTTAACAAACATCCAACATGGTGTCTTCAAGGCTGGTAATTAGCTAAAATCAGCTTCATTGACTGGCTGGATTTGCAATCAAGTTGTTGTAGCTTGTCCTACAGGGATATGCCATTGAATGTGCCCACTTGGTGACTGATAAAAGTCCCAGCTGAATGAATGTACAGAAACTCTTGCTATTCTCTGCCATATGCTGGTTGTAATTCAAGGCTTGGGAAGAGGGGGTGTGAGGAAAGAGTTTTTGGGTAGTGGATGGCTTTGTCTTGTTGGGTAGCGTAATTTTTGACTTCAAAGAGTATAATACACGAGGCTCTCGCCATTGATATCGGGAGGTCAGTTATGCATAACCTTACCACTTGGAAAAATTAGAGTCTTTACAAAAAAGGCTGTTTTCCTGAAAATATAAAATAGTAACAACCAACAAAAAAAAAGGGCAAAATACCATTTATTTTGGGAGTGCAATGCCATGAGCTTATCTTCCCAAGTGCAGGAAGACATTGGCTAACAAAAGCTGCCTTCCATAACCTTCACAAATTCTCTGAAATCAATCATTCCATCTCCATTATCATCAAAGGCCATAATCATCCTCTGGCATTCGATCTCAGGAAGTTCTGTGAAACCCAATTTACCAAGGACTCTTTCTAGCTCCTTTGCATCTATGAAACCATCACCATTCTCATCAAACAGATCAAAAGCTTCTTTCACTTCCTCAGGACTAGGCTCAGTCTCATCGAACAATTTTGATATCTCAACTGAGCCTAGTCTTTCTTGAAGCTTATCACCATTTGGGTCACAGAAAATTCCTAGTTTTTGCATTACTATTTCCACATCTCCTCTGAACAACATAACATTATTGACACTTTCATAAGTATAATCTTTCATGGTAGAAACTTGGACATTACAGTTCTTGGATTTTGTGCAATAATTCCATGTGAAGCAGAGGAAGTGCAGTATGGTCCGAAATACATTTACAAAACATAAATAAAAGTCCTGAAGGATAATCACCCAACTTAGAACAACATGAGATAAAATGACGCAAACAAGTAAAATTGCGCTACCCAACTCAATGTATAGTAAGATCATGCCTACTGTAGAGAGTGGATTAATACTCTTCTCCATCATATACTCTGTATGTGTGTGTTTATGTGTGTGTGTGTGTGTGTGTCAGAGAGAGAGAGAGAGAGAGAGGAGGGGGAGGAGGAAAAAAGATCGTGTGAGTGTGTTGTGGATGGTCGGATTGTGGACTTCTTGTGGAATGTGGATAACATATATGTAATGTTGGGGCAGCAAGTCTTTTTGAATTTGCAGGGAGAAGATGCATTGAAATGGTGTCCAAATTTCCAGACATTGACAATGAGTTTCGTGGCTTTCTTTAGGGTAAATGACACTTTGTACCCTAAAAGATTTTTAAATTCTTAATATATATTCCCAAAGACTAAAATTCGAAGTAACGTTATGCTGACCAAATTATTGTCCAAATTTTATATATCAAACTAATACAAGTGGTTGGATTAGTGGGGTCCATTAACTCTACTAAAAATTTTGAATGCATGAGATTTTAACACATCACTTGAGATACAAAATTTGGTAAATAAATTTTGTCAACACAATTTTATCTTTAATATTCTCTCATGCACCCTCAATAAATAAATAAATAAAAGGTACCAATGTGATCTGTTTTAATAAAAGCAAATTAAGTACAAAACTTTAAATATGAAATACTTAACATTGAGTAATATACAAGTAATTGTATACAAAAAATATAGCAAAAAACATTGTCAACATAGCAACCGGCATTTGGTTGTCGACTATTTTTTATTTGATTGTGAGCGTAATGTAAAAATTTTGATATTTCAAGGTATAAGGTGTCATCTTCTCTCTCTCTCTTCAATTGAACCTCTGAAGTAACGTGCAAGGGTCGTTGAAGGAACTTCCTGGCAATTTGTCCTTAAGGTCTTGCTTCCTAAATTCCAATGTGATCTCGATGAAAGGAAGAAAAAGAAATTCCATGGTGGTCCGGAACTGGAACTGTGGAAACACCTTTTTTTGTTTTTTTAATAAAAAAAGTCGTTAACTTGGAAGTTTCCTTAAATTTTCTAAAGTTTTTTGTTGCCTTTTTCACATTTGTGAATTACGTGGTAGTTGTGGTGTGTACCAAAATCCAAAGGGAGCGGATAACTGGGTAAGTTCACGCGGACTCCACACCTAACAAAGGTAGGAGCCTTATGCCCCGTTTGGTACGATGAAAATATGGAAGGATAGAAAATTGAAATGATGAAAAGTTGGAGAGATAAATAAAATATCATATTTAGTAAGAAAGGAAAGGAGAAAGGATGGAAAAGTGGATGAATTAACTTTCCTTCCAATTCACCAAAATCAATCCCTCCAAAATCAGAAAGAAAATAGATGTAAAGTTAATTATTTGTGTTGAGATATATCTTATTTGTCTATATATCTTATGTATACATTAATTTCATATACAAATATAATGGTAAAATATGTATATATATTTTAAAAATTAATTTTAAAAAAAATAAAAATAAAAAATAAAAAAACAAAAATTTTAAGTTATAAAAAATATTTTTTTCATCATTCGACTCAACACAATAAAATTACTCGAACTCAATACGAAAATAAATAGGTCAACTCGCAACTCGACACGACACAATTAGTTAAATGAGTTAAGTTAGGTTTGACTAATATTTGACACAAACTCGTAATAACTCAACACGAATTTGACACGACACGACTCAACTCTATTGTCACCCATAATCTTAGTCAATACAAAAAAAAAATAGTCATTTTTATTTTCTATCCATCCAACCAAACACGAATGAAGAAAAATGTATCCTTCCTACTTTCCATTTTTGAACGATAGAAAATGTATTTCTCCTACTTTCTATCATCCCTAGCAAACAGAGCATTAGTGTGGCTATGGGGATCTATGTCCGGCCAATTGGATTTATTGTGTGTTTTAAGTTGTCGAGAGATGTCAATCTATGTCGTATCGTGTCATTTTTTGTTGTGTCTTAGTTAACTGTGTAATTACCATCGAACAGTTAGTTTAGTGAGTAAAAACTCAGATTCTCTCAATTAATACTTGAGTTCGAGTCTTCACGACTATGATAATTTATTGGGGCTAAACCTACTCTTTAGTACTCAGAACACGTGTTGAGACCTTAGCTTTGACCCCTACATTAGTGCAGTGGGATCTCCTCTAAATATATCTCTTTATGTAACAAAAAAAAAAAAATAGTTAACTGTGTAATTCTAGAGTTGTGTGTATTTATGTCGTTGCTATACAATCTATGAATGAGGAACTATGAGACTGAAACTTTTTTTTCTCTCAAACAAATCTAATGACAAAGTCATATAAAAAATCTGGACATTGTCTAATTATGAGGGTAGTCTTTTATCGTTGGGTCATGGCTTAAGGTTTTATGGATCCGCTTTAATTCTCCAACAATTCATCCGAATTAGATCAATAAATTAAAATTACGACATCAATTAAAGAGGTTATTCGTGTTTGACGCTAATCCGGCCATTTATCATATGTGTCAACTTGTCGCATTATTTTTAAACTCGTATCGTATTGGATTCAAATTGTTTAAAGCGTTGAGTCAAAAAAATGACACCCTACATTGGTGAGGATAGGTGAAACACAAATCCACATTCCTCCAAATACAGGTTTAGCACAAGCACTTTTTAGATGTTACCACTGTGCCTATCTCACTTTGGTTGGTAATCACCATAGCAATTGTGTGGTATAGTGTTTCTGCACTATGGGAAATTCTTTGAATCCCTATAGAAGGGTTAGCATTAGGACAATGTGCGAGTGGCCAAAATGATTGTCTTTGAAATCCTATTATCATGTTCTTTCCCCTAGAATTTCATAAAATATTTCTTTATTCTGATTTATCCATCAATTAATCAATTTAAGGTACAGAATATGCCAGAAAATTGTATGTATTTAATATTTACGGTCCACTTTTCGGTTGTTTAAGCTGGATTTTATATAAAGAGACGTCAACTTCAACTTACACCTTGCTTATTAGTTGTAAAAGTACATTACAGATCAACCAAATCGTGACCATTAAGTCGTATTAGATAATTATTAAAGGATTGTACATAGTGACAAAGACTCTATCGATTGTGGGGTCTGAAAATAGTAAATAATAAATTAAACTCAAATTAATCACGTATCATTTTGACATATCAATCATTTTGTTCGCTTTTAAGTTTAATATCTTACGAAGTTTGAGACTGTGACCCACCTCTCCCTTTCAAAATACATTCTACTTCAATCTTGACTTTGCAACCACATTATCATTGTCTGTTTGGTAAGAAAGATGGAAACGTGAAGAATAGAAAAACAAAATGAACAAGTTTTCATCCTCAAAGGAAAAAAAGTGTTTTTCTCTCTAATTTGTTTAGTTGAATGAACAAAAAAGTGGAAAAGATAGATTTTTTATTATTTAATTTGATATGACTAAAAAAAATAAAATAAAAATCATTGCCCTTTAAATACCATAAATACCCTCATAAAAAATGTGAATATTATATAATATGAGTAATGAGCTACAAGGAGTAAATGGTCAGAAGTTGTGACTGAACAAACGAAAACTCCTTGCATCTTTTCTTCCATCTTTCGTTCCTAACTACACAAAACAAAAACTCCTTGTCTCATCTCATTTTTATCCATCTATTTTTCACCTCTACCAAGCGCATCATTAAAATACTATTATTTCCTAATTGCTAGGAAAATTCCAATTTGGAGGTACCGCAACTTTGTCCAAGCCAAGCAAGCCACAAAGTCAAGTTCATCGACAAAATGTATTTTAATGGGGCATCTTCTGATGTGAGGGGTGGGCATCGGGGTAGGGGGAACGGCCTCATCAATGTCGTGACTTTTGGGGCATGTTTATTTTGAGCAGGGGTATTTAAAAATAGGTACAATTTTTTAGATTTATTTGGACAAAAGTAGAAGTTAAAAATTTATTTGGAATAAAATACATATTTTTTAAAAATGTCATTATTGTCATCGATAAACGGCATATGGATGAAAATCCTTTTGTATTTTTTTCTTTTCTTTTCTTTTTTTGTTACAATTAAGTAATAGAAGGTAAAATAGGGATATATTTTTTCTAACAATTTCTCTCTTTCTCTTTCTCTCTATTTTCTCTTACTCTATTCATATTAATATTACAACAACACAATTACACTAATCAGTTACATCAATCAGTTACAATTGTCCTATAATACACTAAACAGTTATTCATGCGTTCTAATAAATCAAACAGTTACACAAAATTATGACATCAACTCAATTTGTCATTCAGTTGTTTACATAAACTAAAAAATTGAATCATGTAATATTGCGGTATCGTTACACCATCATGCCTTAACAATTGCATGAGACTGAGATTGTTACACCTATTAAAAAAACAGTTACACCCGATGGACCAAGCCCAAAAGGCCCAAATCCATGTAGAAAGCCCAGTCATGATCAAAAGCTCAAAATTATGAAGACCCAGCAGGCCCAACAAAGTTCAAGTCCAATCAAACTCATCAGCTTGGCTACTTCGTCAAGAGAGCTCATAAACCTCTCCCGCACCCGCCTTGGAAATAGTCAAACCTCACCTCATCCTTTGACCGAGTCTCATGGAGAGCGCTGCAACCACCTCACACGTTGAGGAAAAGTTGTGAGCTATACCAGAATAATTATGTAGTGGCTATTAAGTCGCCCCCAATCTGTTAGCAGACGACTATAAATTGTAAGTCCCGCCAACACTTAGGGGGCATGATCATCACCAACACACTCTCACATGAGCACAATTCTCCTCTCCCTCTCAAAGCTTGTATTTTCTGCTTCTGCACCCTTGAGCTAATAAGTACTAGGCAACCAAAGTCATTCAAAAGAAAACGTAAGTCACGTTGACCGAACCACTATAAATCTCGTCTCCTCCAACTCTCTTTACTTTTAATGACAAGTATTGTGCAAACCTGATTTGTGCATCATCAACACCCATTGAAAAAATAGTTACACTCATTAAAAATTAGTTACACCCATTAAAAAATAACTACACCCATTAAAAAAAACAAAAAAAAAAAATTTCCCTACATCCCAACAAGAACTAACAATACATAATATCTAACAAAACATCTTTACCGATTCATTTTTTTTTTTGGAAAAATTTAGAGTTTGATCAATTATCATAGTAAAAAACTTTATTCATTTTGGTCAAATGACATGAAAGCAAGATTGGTGGCACGGGATGACATGTGTGTGTGTGTGTGTATTTTCATACAGTTTGTTTCATTCATTTATCTTCATCTTCTAGCACGAAATATGTTTGCTTTTGCTCTCTGTAAACTACTATTTTATATCCCATTATTATTGTTAATCTTTACATAATTGTTTCCTCAAATAACTGTCAATGATGATTGCATAAATTAAGAAAGGGTGTTTAGGTAAAAAGATATTAATTCATTTTGAATTTTATACCTAAACACAAAATATTTTATAAAAATTGTACTTAATAGAATAAATAACTTATCCATACGCTTTTGCTCAAATAAGTTTAAAAAATTGTACCCACACACAAAAAAATCCTTTTGTGGGAGTATTGGTATACGTGGTATTAAGAAATATATTTCTTACATTTTCAATATTAATGAAAATTAGTACTGGTAATAAAAAATATTTCAATCACTTTCTATGTTTGTTTGTTCAATAGGTATTATGATAGGTCTCACAAACAATCATTTATTCTATCATATATTGTATAACAAATATACAATTTTATTTTTAACATCATTTATTCCATTACTCCGTTTGTGTAACGCCTTTGGATAATGTTTGGTATAATAAATGGTATGACAATTCATACCTAAAAAATTTCAAATAATGTAAAAAATATACATAAAGAATAAAGAATCAAATGCTGTGAATAAGTGACACCATAAAAAAATTAAAAAAAAAACCGGTGATACCGTTTGCTTCAATATAATATAAGAAAAAAAATTCAAAATGATTTTTAAAAAAAATTAAAAAAACCGGTGATACCGTATACTTAAACATAATATAAGAAAAAAATTCAAAAATAATTTTTTAAAAAACTGGTGACACCGTACACTTAAACATAATACAAGAAAAAAAATTCAAAATAATTTTTTAAAAAAAAAAACGATGACCCCATACACTTAAAACATAATACAAGAAAAAAATTCAAAATAAATTTTTTATATGTGATCTCTACACATGAGGGTATTTGTGTCATTTTCCTTACGTGTATCGTCAGTGAACATATACCAGCAAATAATATCACATAATAAGTGGATATTCATTAAAATCATGTACAAGGGTTAAAGTCTACTATACAAACCAGATTGATATTGTAATCCGAAAAATAGTATTGCACATAAAATATCAACCAAACAAGGTAATTGGTGAGCTTCAAGTATTATTTCTTGTTATCCCATCCTATAATACTACTAAAACTCACAAACAAACATGTCATTCAAGTACAGGTATTCATTATTGATACAATTTGGGTGAACTAAGAGGCTAACTTACACATTTTTAAAACTGTCAATTTCACCAAAATTAACCTAAACTTTTAACTTGAGTATTGTCTTTACTCAAAATTTTAAACTCTAATTCCACAACTCCAATTGAAATTAGAGTTTAATTTAGACACAATTTGTGATTTTAACTTTTGACTTAATACTCGAGTTGAAATTGAGAATTTGAATTTAATTCTTGGACTTCACGTATGAAAACACAAATTCAAGAGTATTTGTGTTGGGTCCAATGGTTGGCACTCAAAAACCCAAGGTCCCAACTCAAATATTGCGTGAATTTAAATTAGACTTGATTTTTTTTTATAAAGTTCAATTTAAATATTAAAAATTTTTGAACAAGTATTAAATATTTCAAGTTGAGTTAGATTTGAGATGACTTGCCAAATTACACCACCCCCTCAATATCTTCATATGCCAGACACATGAAATTTTTCATCTCCCATGTAAAATGTAATTAGGGTCGGGGATCACATTGGTTAAATGTGTGAATTTGACTTTTATAAATTTTAAAGATTAAAATGCATTTAGATAAACTTAAGAGACTATTCGTGTAATATACCAATTTCTAATGATCCTGTGCTCGTAAACATTTTGAAACGAAGAGGCTGAGAAGATGAGGCGGAGCAGAGAGGGAAAAAGGAGAAACATAAACTATTCATCTCCAACAAGAGACCAACCCGATAGCCAATCATTGTTCGAATCAAAGCCGCCGTCTGGTTCTAGTCGGCGTAGCCTCTCACCTCCCTCAACCTCTCTGCTCGACCGTGAACTCATAACCGAAGACCTTGCTTTGTTCGAAAACCTACAAATCTCCCCTCAAAACCCTAATCCCAGGAGCTTTCCGTACAGTGTGAAGCAGCAATGCTGGGAGAAAGCGGAGAAGATCAGAGGCCGAGACCCAAATCGGTGGCGAAGGGACGCATTAGGGAACATGGTGTTTCGAAAGCTTGTGGGGTGTCCCGGGTGTCTCTGCCATGACTATGATCACATTGTTCCTTACTCTAAGGTATTAAGATTTCAAAGTTTTAATCTTTTTGTCAATTTGTTTTTGTGGGTATTTTTTGTTTTGCTGCTATTTTGGTTATATTGACCAATTAGATTCATTTTACCTATTCGGGTTTTGGTTTAGCAGGTTTATTATTGGCTCAATATAAGTTTCATATATATTTATGCGCGTTTTTAATTTTTTCTTTTGTGGTATTGTTAGTTCTGATAGTATTTGGATTTGATGCTCTGGTTTAGTTTTAGCTGCTTGGTTTCTGCTAGTTGTCTGTAATGTCTACTAATGTTTTACTCACATTGTATGCTTATAGGATTTGGTTTAGTGGGTTGTTTTGGATTCTGGCAATTTATCAATCTAGGTCCCTCTTGACATTTTAAAAATCCTGTTACTTTACGTATTTATGAAATTAGATGTTTTGAATGCGTACCATAGCCTAATAGTAAGAGTATGGAACCAATGTCAATGGAATGATAATCATAAACAAACTCACTTGTGTAGTGAACAGTTCTCCTAAGCATATTCGGCAATGGTTTGATGAAGCTACAGTGAATGTGATTATAGCATTATTTATTTCAAAAGGTTAGCATCCATGGTAAAATTTTTGAACTTGGTGATTTTCATATGTTGTGGATGTGGTTGGATGACATGGGACTAGATGTTTGCAATCTGTGAAAATGTAGTTGTTTTAGTAAATACTACCATAGGTTAGTGCGCGTAGGGACCATCGTCGTTTTAAATGCCATGATGCAATTGTTTAATTTCTGCTCTTTTTGACAAAGCAAGCATTGCATGCTCACGAGACCTCTTGCCAACTACCAAAGAACCAATCATTCTCTTACACCTCCTTGGACCTTGGCAATGTTTCAAACACGCCTTTGTCTTCACCTTATCATGTTGGTTGGAAGGTTAATTTAAGTTTCAAATCAAAAAATTTATCGGACTCTGAATTTGAACGCTGCTCTACATGGAGCATTTTTTTAATATTGTTCTATGTATTATACCAGGCTTCTTTTCTCTGTTAAGGTTCAGTTCTTGCAGTTCAGTTTTCAGTTATAGCACTTGAAAAAAATCAGTCTCGCCATTTTCAAACCCTGCTTGTTCTGAACTTTATCTTAATGATCAGAGATTGCAAACCATTTGTCTTTGAAAAGTGGGCTGTCTTTTCCTGTCATACCTAAATTCTATTCTTGAGCCCTGATCTTAGTTACTAAATGGAACTGCTGCCTGAGGTTATGTTTGAATGTTTTCAGGGGGGAAAAAGCACATTGGAAAACTGTCAGGTTTTACAGGTAACAGCCATGGCCATGGCATTTAGTATTATTGCATTTATGTGGTATCCAGCTTCATGTGATTAAGTGTGGCACACTCCTAATAATGCTTCTTTCCATATAATGGTCATTTAGATAATGGTGTGGTTGGCCACAGCCACAACTCTGTGGCAAAATGCTAGCTCGATAGTCAATATGGGGAGGACTGATACGAAATTAGTAATATTATCCGTGAACTCATTGAATAAAATAATAGAGAAGTAACGATTGTAAATAGCGGTACTGTACTTCAAGTAGATGAGGGAATTACTCGTATTCATGGTTTCCTCGTTGAGGATATATTTGGTTATGTTTACATGGGATTCTGAAGTTCATTTTCTTTCGAACCCAAATTGATCTTCAATGAATTGATGTGTTTAACAATGCTGAACTGATGATTTTATTAATGAAAAAGTAAGATTAAGATTAGAAAATTGGTTGCTTGGCGAAATGACTAATAACTTTCCACTGAATATGCCTGATTTGGGAAAAGCCATCTTTTGAGTTAGAATCCCATGTGTATGCATATCGATTTCCTTGACTACACAACTGCTAGGGTTTAGCTGCATTGATTAGGTATTGGGCTAGATTTTAAATGGTTTGTTAAAGATTAATTTCTCTTACAAAAGACAATTATCGGTAATGTTGCTTTTTCCTTGAGTACGTTCAGTCAACCTTAAAGTGACTTTGCCCTGTATTTCTGGACCTTCAAGCTTCAAACAGTGTAAACCCTGGTCACTGTGGGTGTGTTTGGTAACGTTTTTATTTTTATGTTTTTTTGTTTTTTTTAATGAAAAAAACAGAATTAAGTTTTGTTTATTTTGTGATAAAAATTAAAAATATAAAACATGTTTGGTAGTCCTTTATATTTTTGAAAATTTGTAAAAGCAAAAATAAAAAACCTGTTTGGTAGTATATCAAAAATTCACCACCCAAACCCCCACTGGCCACACAAAACCACCACCCAAACCCCACCACTCAACTCCACTGGCCACCCAACCCCACCACTTTTTTTTTTTAAAAGAAAGAGAAATTTTATTTCATCAATTTAACGAATTACAAGAATCAAAAGGATTTAAAGCCTAATATGGCTTTAATCCTTCAAAACAAATCCAAAAAATTACTAAGAGTGATAATGGGGAGATAGAATTTGACAGACCAAAGTCTTCTTCCTCCTTACTACTGTCAGACTCAGCTGATCCAGAAGCAACAACAACCTTCCTTCTATAGGCAGATCAAATACCGAAAATCAGTGCAGCACCTCGATCAGCATAGGAAGCTAAAAAATCTGCAACCCCATTAGCTTCTTGAAAAAAATCTGCACTGATCAATGAATATAACAAACACAAACAGATCTATGTAACAAACACAAACAAACAACCGAAATCCACAACCCAACCAAATCTAACAAACACAAACAAATCTCCACTGGCCACCCAACCCCACCATTGAAACCCACAGATCTGTGTATATATATGCATATATTCATAGATCTATGAATATAAAAAATACAAACAATTCAATTAAAAAAAAAAAAATCCACAGAGAGGTTAGGGAGAGAAAGAGATCGATGGAGATGGAGATGGAAAGAGTAGAAAATCTGAAAAATCAGTGCTTCCCTCGCCGGAGCTTCCTACGCTGGAGCTTCCTTCCTACGCTGGCTTCACAACACGAGAGAGACGAATAAGAGAAGAAAAAAGGGTAAAAAAAAATCTTTTTATACTTGGAACAAAAAGAATACCTTTTGTGCTGTTAATGGGGTTCGAAGAGAAGACCTCATTAATTGAGGTTGAGGGACGCGCGTGTTTACGTTTTTTCCCTGTTTTTGAAAGCACCTAAATAGTTGTTTTCAAAAACAGGGGTTGTTTACAAAACAGACTGGCTAAAAAAAAAAACACTCTCCAAACATGTTTTTTTGTAAAAAATTAAAAAAAAAAAAAAAAAAAACAGAAACAACTAGTTACCAAACGGGCCCTGTATTTTTAAGTCTCTTTAAATCTCAACTCAAAAAAGTCTTATTCATAATTTCCTTTGGCATTTTTGTGGAGAATCAGTGTTCTCATAGTTTTAGGAAGAAATATTTGATAATGACAGAAGGTTTACGGTAGTTTAACATGCTAGGGATGTGAGAGCTCCCTACATCTGTAGACTTTGGAGGTCATTGCTTGGGTGGACTCCTGCTGAAAAAGTGGCAGAATTCACTGCTGGCGTTGTAGAGTAAGCTTTTCAAGTGACGTAGCAGGTGGTGACATCAGCCATGACATGCTTACCTGATTTATTCAGACTGGCTACAGATTACAGAAGATATGCTTCCATGACCATAAGGATTCCCTGTTTGGAGTTTCCTGTTTCCTTCTTCTGGTAGAGATTTTTTCAGAGATTGAGCTTGATTAACAGTGGAATTGGGTGTTTTGTAGGGATCTCCATTTGGAGTAGGAATTGTGATACTTAAAAGGCTGTAGCTTAACGAGGGTCGTCATTCACTGTGAACTTTTTATTCTGATCTTTGGGAATCAGTGGGGGGTTACATATTATTCTGAAAAATTCATATGGAAGTCGACCATTCTTCAGAAAGCACTTCCTTTTTATGTCATGTTTGGAAATCATATTTAGAAAAGGCTTGTTACCCAATATTTGGCATTAATCAGAGGTGTTGGGATGGGTGAACTTGGTATGGATCTAATATTCGACATTATTTGTCAAAACTAGCTACCTCAGATTTGAATCCATACCCTCTCGGCTTTTAGCCCCACACATTTACCATTACACAAGAAAATGACCTCTAAATATATCATTTGTAGAAATTAGTCAGATTTGCACTTTTTTGTGTTGTTATTTGCAGGTTTGAAGTTAAAATGGAATCTATTTTTTTATTTCATTCCTCTCTCTCTCTCTCTCCCTATGCTGAGATGGGTCCAGATTTCTCCCTTATTTTTGTGGTTTTAGGCAATACCAGAGTCCTGGGATTATAACAGAGAATATGACATATTAAACTTGGATAGAGCAGATTTAAACATCATCATTCATCAATAAAAGAACACAACCATGGTAAATCACATCTACAGTGTCCTCTGCATCGCATCCATTTTCCCCCTTTTCCATTTCCTATGAGTAAGATGTTAAACCGAAGATTTCATCCAAAATTTCCAATTGAATCCCAAATTATATCGGCATTAATTTCTATACAATCTTACACACTTAATCAAAAGATTCCCTCCCATACCATTAATGCTTTCCAATCCTAGGGTGTAATTACACTTGCATTAATTTGAAGCAGTTTTTGGATCTGGATGCATGTTTTATTAATGCTCTTCTCAAACTATATATGTCTATAGGTCGTTCACCTTGGCCAATTAGTTGGCAATAATATGCATCTCGTCTCTGTAGTGGAACAATTCATAAACATACTGCCGAGGTTCTCCTAATGGCATGACTACAGATATGATGTGTGCAAGATATAGGAATGGGTCTAACACCTGATGCAAGTTATAGGAGCATGAAAATATGTCAAGGGAATATTTCTTAAGAGAATCTTTTATGTGGCCTATGAATGACTCCCTACTTTCTCATGATTTTGTGCCATTGTTTGAAGTAAACTAGCCACTTGACTGTTATCTGTGCTGTGTCAAACCAATGGAAGAAAATAATTGCCTGCTTTTATTTTTGAATTACGGATATCATGGTCCTTCTTCCCCAGTTTCTTTGCTTTTCGGTTTGATCAGGGATCTAGCTCTTACATGTCTGACTAAGCCTATGTCGTTCTTTTTGCTGCAGGCAACAGTTAATCGATCTAAGGGGAATCGTACTGAGTTTTCCAAAGCTGAACTCATTCAGAAAAGTTCTTACTGCCGGGTTTCAGGTACATGATTTACCATACCATCATCATTAAATGTAAATATCATTGTAATTGCTGCTAATTAATTTTGAAATGAGCAGGACGCGATATGGATCTTCTAGAATTGTCAGCCTATGGCAATGTTCGTCGTGGACAAGATTCTGGGGGATGTAGAATCCAATGAAATGCAAGGGTTAGCAACCTCTGTTGTAAAATTAATCAAGGATGGCAAAAATGATGAATATGTATTCAAGGTGTTGTGATCCAATCAATCATCTATACTGGAGGTGCAATGCTTGATAATCTTTGTATGGAGCTGCATTGAAATGTCAGTGATTTATTTCAATTGATGCTTAATGAGTACTACACACTTTCTCTTCCCCCTCCCCCCACAAAAAAAAAAAAAAAAGAAAAATTGATCGAATTGATTCTCAAATTCTATAACTATAGTCTGGAATTAGGGCTAAACTTGGGTTCAGCTTGAATTTTATTTTGGGGTAATATTAGGTTTGGGTTCCCAGAATTCGAATCCCCAACTTGAGGACAAGTCAAATCGAAATTGGGTTGGGTTTTTTTTTCCCCAGGCCCAATCCATATTAAAAATTCCTACACGAGTCTTGATTCTTTGGATTGGGTTTGAATTAGGTTGGGATTAAGTTGAAGTTTTGCCCTTAGATGTTTTAGAGTTTCATCTATATCTAATTCATCGCGGCTCGTTTGGTAAAATACCAAACATACATATGTGCTTTTCAGCTTTTGTAATCTTTTGCTTTTTTTCCTTCTTTTCGATAAGCTTGTGAAAGACAATTGACTTTTGTTGCTAATGGCAATGACCTTTTGGCCTCGGTCCCCACTATGAAAAGATAAAGAGGGGAAGTTGGAGGTCCAATTGTGTCTTTTTCATGCTTTTTGTGAGAAAGTGAAAGCTTTCTTATCAGATGCTGTTTCCTTTCGATCCTATGTTTTTTTTTCTTTCCCTCTTTTTGAGGCACTCATTCATTGGACTAATTTTATTGCAAAGTAATGTTTTGGTTGATACGATGGAAGGATGGAAAGATGAAAAGATGAAAAGTTAGACGGATGAAAAAAATATCACGTTTGGTTATGAAAGAAAATAAAGATGAAAAAGTTGTTGAATTCATTTTCATTCTAATTCATCAAAATTATGAGAAAAAATAAATGAAAAATTAAATATGTATGTTAAAATATACATTATTTAATTTATGCATATATTCTATTTTTCTATTATATATTATATACACATTAATTTTATACATAGATACAATGAAAAAATATGTATTTATATTTTTTTATCCTACCAAATACAAAAATATTAATCTTTTGAACTTTTCATCACTCTTTTCAAACATAAAGGACGGAAAGAAAGATTCTTTACATGAAGAATAAAAAATGTATTAATTTTATTTTTTATTTTTATATTTTTTTTTATCTATATTACCAAACATACCATGAAGAAAAACAAACTTCACCGAAAGGAAAGTAGAACCGTTTAACATATGATTTTTCTTTATTTATTTCTTTCTTTTTGTATTTTTGATAAGGAGTTTTGACTTGTAAATATGACACCCACCATAAAAAAAGTTCAATTAACGTCAATATTCACGAATTAGAATCTATAAGACAAAAACTCTGAAAACCCACCGAACAAAACACAATTCATGTTCAATCGCTTTTCATTGAACAATTAGATCGGTGCAATATCCGACAACTTAATAAACCCATATACGTCGGTAAACGAGGGCAAAACATAAATTTGTATGTCTTGAGTTTTAGTTTTTTGAGTGTATAAAACATACGTGATTAGATGGTGATTACGTACCACCAAAAACTTAAATTACAATCCAATGTCCATAAAGATGTTGTGGTTCGATCATTTCTCGTCACCCAAAAAAAAAAAAAGTTAGTAGTGTGGTTTTAAAGTTAATTCATCGGGGGAGTTGGCCCCAACTAGTGGGACATAAAATGCACCTTGGACTGACCCTTAGCATGAGCATGATTAAGAATTTCATTCATCTCCACTTAATGAATGACACAAGATGCACCAAGCATAGGAACTTTGAAACCTAAAAATTGTAGTGGGAGGTTTGACTTTAGAGTTCTGCTGATGCAAATGTAACTTTATGGGAGGAAAAAAGTTAGCTACTTAATGACCACATATACTTCCAGATGCACCAAAGCCAAGTGACATATACCACTTTATTCATCATCTAGATAGGAGGAAGCACTGATATGGGGATGTATTGTGAAAAAAAGATTGAAAAAAAAAAAAAGATATTGATATGGTTGTCCAAGACAGACGAACACCATCAAGAAAAAATTGTGTTTCGTGCTATAAAATGGTTTAAACTGCCAAACGCTAAAGAAATTATTAGTTGGGAGGCTTTTTCAGGTATCGGTTAGGCTTGGAATGGTCAAGGAACGCGGAAAATGGTTCTGGTATCGGTTAGGTTGCGGTGCCGTAAGAAAGTGATGAATGGTGTTGTGACTCTCCATGTCTACCCCATTAATAAGCTATGTGATGAATTAGTACCATTGTGGAGGCTAATCAAGCAATTCTCTTTCCTATTTCTGTGCACTAGGATCTTTACAGTTATCTGAAGGAGATCTACACAATTAGTTTGGCAGTCAGAACTTTTGAGGGGCAACCAACCCTAAAACATAGCAATTTAATTAGTAACAGACCAATTAGGTACAGAGCAATGGCTGGTCAAAGATTAGTTTACCTGTAAGATTGAAGCTTTGCACATGGATGATAATGAAAAAAAACGACATATTTGCTTCTAAAAGGAAAAAAGATCAATAGGACGGAGAAAGAAAGAAAGCAAAAGACAGAGAGAATGCCAAAAGCATTCATAGCAGTTTGTGTAGTTGGAAAATTTTGGGGTCCCATAACAACTCATCTTATACATAAGTTGTGGCTTGTATTTGCTGATACCATACAAAATATCTTTTAGTGTGTTTTGTATCCACAACCAAACAGGTTCACATATTTGTCTATGATTTTTATGTATCCTCCAAGAATAGCTTAGGGAGACTTTGAAGTGGAATTATCGCAACGTATTTACAATGCAATCCAGAACCATCATTGTCAATAGAAGAAAAAGACTCCCTCTGTTGTTTAGCATAAGAGGAACTGATAGTCTTCTTTCTCCAACATACCAGATTATCTAGTGATCTATGATCATTCTAACAGCGCGATAATCAGTAACTCGTCTCATTAATAATCATTGGAGTTTGACTGATCTATGATCATTCTAACAGCGCGATAATCAGAAGCACATCTCATTAAGAATCATTGGAGTTTGTCTGATTTCAAATTTTAAAATTTACCTTCCTTCTCATGATATCTGGTTTGAAGCATCTCAGGTTTCCCATAGCCCGAGTAAGTTGCTTGGATTTGAATAACTTGTTGGCCTATATTCTCAAGTCTATTACCCTCTGTTGATGTTTTATGATTGCATTTTTGAGACTTCGCAAGCCTATTCTACGAGTCAGGGACACAACCCTTTGCAATTTAACCACAGAATGCATATAAGAAATTCTCAAAGAGAAATTGTTATTATCCAAACCACCAAGACCACTTTCCAAACTAGTTTACCATTATATCATACAACATCTACAATTTTCGTCCATCGATATATCTTTCACTCTCTCCTTTCACAGTCAGTATTTCTCATACAGAAATTTACATCAAAACACACTCAACATTCCGAACAAAACGGACATGTTTTTAATGTTACAAGAAAGAGAAATTCGGCTGTTATTTGAACTTCTCTAGATAATCATCCAGTTCCACTTAGGGAACCCCAGAGAAATAACCTCCATTCCATCTCTATCGATTAACTGCCTCTTTATGTTCAATTGAGGCAGGTATCTAAAGACGAGCCACCAAGGCTGAAGGTAAGTGCACCAGAGATAAACCAGTGAGCAGAATCCAATGTTACTTTTCCCTTTCAGAATGATGAAAATGTACTCTAGGCAGCCTCTTGGAAGCTAAGGGACCTAGATGAGGCTGCAGGGTTAGCATGCAACAACAAAGAATTTGTGCCCAAGTGATTCTTTTCATCAGCCTTTTGCTGGAAGGACTTGAAAAACCCTCCCCTGCTGGCAGAGTCGTGCTTAATCCCAAGCGTTGCCCATATAGAACTTTTTGCAGCTTCATCAGGGTGATCGATCCTCAATGTTTTTGGAATTAAAATAGATCCCTCTGATTTCTTCTGTTCTACTGACTCTTTAACATCTGGATTGCTCGCCTTTAGCAAGTCCCCATCCCTTGAATGCTTCCCTAAGGTTACTGAATTTGGACCCAAGCTTGATGCCTTTTGATTTGTTGCAGGAGCCGTTGGAGACAACCAAGGAATACTCCAAGCACCGGGCACACCACAATTCCAGTAAGGTGCAGGGATGAATGGCATGGGAAACCCTGAAGGACAAATGGCTGGCACAGGAACGCCAGAACTCCAAGGATAAGGCCAAGGAACTCCAGCAAGGCATGGAATTTGAGGAGGGAAGCCATTTATGGTCTGCATCTTTGGCTCTTGAAGCCTGTTTGTCCCTTCCTCGGCCATTGAATTTGAAGTCATGACAGACGACTTACTAGAGCAATCGTCGCCATTTTCTCCACCTTTGCAAGGAACTGTGATTCCTGGTTCAAGGATGTAAAGCCCATTTCGGGTACCATTTGGGATCTTTTTCTCTGCAATATTCAAAACAGAGGTCATTGATTCACAAAGCGGCGAGTCTGAGCCAAAAGAGAGGACTGTGCCATTGGTTTTGAATGCGGGATGATGAATTCCATTTGGAGCATCAATCCGAGCACCATGAAGCGCTTCAGATATGGTAATGTGACGACAATGAGAGGTGGGGTTCTTGTTTTTGCGACGACCAGCTCCCACAGGCACGTTCCTCATGGTACCACCAGCAGTCCAGTATCTCTGGCAGCTCTTGCAGAAATGACGGGGTTGATTGATGTTGTAGTTGTTGTAGTAACAAAACTTTGTATCCATGCTATTACAACGGGGGCAAGGAAGAATTTTGTCTGGCTTCTTCAGGGTTTTTTGTTGGGAGTTAGATGCATCACTCTGGTCATTTTCTGTCTTTGGAGATTGTAATGGTGCAGTTTCTTCATCAATAGAAGGAGTCTTAGGGTTCTTGTCCGACTCAGACAGCATTTGTGGATCTGTTGACTCATCGGTAATTGGAGAGAGCGCCTTGTCTTGTGGTTTGGGCTCATTGGATCCATCAGCTAGATGATCCTGAAATTTCGACATAATTAATTTTCCATGAGTGCTTGGTAATTGTGTCACAGACCAAGCAATTATTCAGATATGGACCAAAAAGCATGGAAGCAAGATAACCATTAAATGTTACAAAAGAGGAAAACATTTTGTTTCTTAAACTATGTTTTAAAATCACTGTAGTCCGGAAAGTAACGATACAAGCTTATTTTTTCTCCATCTTGTTTCCTTGTAGCTACATATGGTACAGGGCGCTTCTTTTTGTAAACAGTATCAATACTAGTTATACTTATATGTGACTCTCTTCAAACTGCCAGAAAACCTGATATAGCCCAGCAAGGGTATTAACTTAGCAAAGCTGCTATACCTCCCAAAATGTCCAAAACCACAATTCCAAACAATAATAAATGTTTGACTAATAGAGCAACTAAGCAAGGATTTATAATAATTTTGGCAAAACCACTCATCTGCAAATCCCATGGATGATTTTGGTTTCCAAAAACCAAAAAAAAAAAACTACAATAGAAATTTTTTAAAATATCACAGAAAGAACAGACAAATCAAGTGATTGTTAATCAAAATAGCAATTAAAGATGGACTGTTTGCATGAGAAATATCCAGTGGATCAAGTCTAACTCTAGAAACCAAAAATTTGTCAAAAATCCAGTTAGAGTTGGAAGCTTCCAGAAACAATAACTTCTTTTAAGTCATAACAGTTACAAATTTTAATAATAATAATTACTCTGTCAAAGAACTTTCGGGAAGTTCTTATCCAGAATTTAGCACTAATTTTTGGTAAATAGCTAAACTTTGATCAGTAAAGGCATAGATTGAACTGGAATGAAATAAATCACAAAGTTTACCAGGATTTAGATATGAAACAAGGCATCATAAACAATTCACAATTTAAAAAAGGAGCAATCCTGAACTAAATCAAACAAACAATTCATTTTAAAACCCAAAAGAACCCTCATTTATCAGGACAGAAAGAGCAGAAACAGCCAGAGTGCCAATTGAAGTAAAAAAAAGAAAACTGAAAAAGTATGATCGACCCATTAAATTTCTCTGTAATCTGACATCTGGGTCGTTCTCAGATTTACAGGTAATAGATTACACACACACACAAATATCTGTTTTTTGAGACCATACCTTCTCAGTCACTTGTTCTAGTTTTCCTTGTCCTCCTACTCTGCTCACTTTCTTGTGTTCCAAACAAGTGTTCGCTTTGATCATTAAACTACGATCAGAATCATCAGAACTAGTGTCAATGAATTCTCCGCCGGGATCATTGCCGGAGATCACCAGAACCTTGCCGTTATCAGGCAAAGCAATCTTCTTCCCAAACAACTTTATCTCAGGGTCCTTCACTTCCTTCATTTTCCCAAGAAACTGAACTAACAAAAGAGGTTGTGATTCAGTATGGTGATAGCCGTGGTGGTGATGGTGGACTGGTGGTCGCCGGCGGCGACGTGGTTTGATGTCTTTGTTTGGGGGGGGGTTACGAGAAAAACACAATTAGTTCCGTGTGTGTACTGGCATGGTCGATGTCTATGGCCTTTTTTTCGGGTTTTTGATCCGTTTTGAATAAAAGGAGGAGAGATGTGGATGCCACGTCAGCATTGAACTGATTTCTCAGCCACAAGTTTAGATGTGGCCTTGGTATCTTTCCCAACTAGATTCTTTCTTGTTGCGCGGAATTTTGATGCACCTAAACATCTCGACAATTTTGGATGAGTCATAATATTGAGAACTATAAACTTAATATAATTTATTTATTTAATTTTGGGATAGTGATATAATTTAATAATATTGTTGCAATTGAATCATTAAACTTCTTTATTGAGACTCCTTTTTTTTTTGGTTGCTATAAAGTATGTAGGTTTGAATCGTCAATTGTAAATTTTTATACTACAGAGTCAAGGTTTGAACCAATTATTGTAGTTCAAATTAATTTAAAAACATGTTCTCTAAAGAGAAAGAGTGACTGACCTTTAAAAAATAAAAGAAGTATCGAATCTGAAACATTTTTGCAGATCGCACCTAAAAATTTTATTGAGACTCTTTCATTTGACACATTATTATATGAAGAAATTAAATCAGTATTTTAAGTTTCAATAACATTATTTTTTTTATTTGGACCCTACTATTTAATATAAAAGCAAAATAAAGTTATTGAATGTAAATACAGTTGATAAATTGTGGAGTTTTTCATGATCCTCATGCAGCACAAGAATTTTTTTTAAAAGAAAAACAGTAACAGCACAAGAACTTGAAGTATCCATTTTTCAGTGATCATCTAAAACTAAATGTACCATTTGACGGAGGATTTTTCAAGTAATTTTTTTGAAACAAAAATAAAGTTCAAATAATATAGGAGAGGGGTACGATAAAGTTCGAATTTTCAACTTTAATGTCTAACAATAAGAACGATAGTCATTAATCATTAAGTTAACCACTAACTTTAATTCAATTGATAAAAAATAGTAAAAATCAAGAAAAATAAAAAATAAATAAATACTACTTTATCTCAAGTCCTGAAGGTGTACCAAAGTACTAAAGCTCTGAAACAAAGACCAAACTAATTGGTTACGTGGCAGAAAAGTAAGGGTAGCGAATAAGATTGTACTTTTGCTGAAAAAACACTTTTCAGTTTTTTGAGAAAATACTTCCGGGTTCTACTCTAAACCAATGATTGATTTGTTTACCATCCAAATCTTCTCATTTTGAAAGGACTATACTTATGTACTGTTATTTTATATTTTGGTATTATATTAAAAAATAATTTCTCTTAATTTAACATATATCTATTGAAAATTATAAAAAAAAATGTATAATAATCGGTGAAATTGGTATACAATTAACTACTACAAATAATGGTAACTTCACATCATAATCTTTATCTTAAAAAGTGAATGAAATAGATCTCCAAAATAAAAAAACTTGCGGGGGGTAAGAATACGACAAAATAAAAATCTTCCGTGGCATGCACAAAATAAAATACAATGAAAATTTCTCAAAACATTTTTGAGTTGGGTACAACTCTTTTTTTTTTTTCTTTTTGGCTTTTTTTGGGTTGGGGAGCCGGGGGGAGGGAGATGGCCTTACAATCTTTTGAAATACGTTTAAGATCATTTGAGGTCAAATTATAATTTCGGGTTTGATTACAACTTTCTGAGACTTAAAACCTTTGAGGTGGGCTTTGGATGCCGGTATAATCATTGGATGGAGTTAGAATTATTTAGGGTGATATATTATTTTTTTGGATGAAATTAGCATTTTTTTTTTGAGTAAAATTATTAGTTTTTGAGGTGGGATTATCAAAATTTTTTTGGGTGAAGTTTGCACTTTTTAAAGTGATGTTACCATTAATTGGAGTGAAATTACCATTTTTTTAGAGTAAAGCTACTACTTTTTAGAAAGAAAAAAAAAAGAAATCACTATATAATTGATGAGACCTCTTGATGTTGCAAAGGAAATCATTTTTAAGAATTGAATTTAATCATTTATAATAGTGATAAAAAAAATACTCAAAAAAGTGATAAATTAACTACAAAAGCGATAAATTTTGTTATTGTAAAATGACCCACAAAAAATTATAAAAACACCCTTTAAAATAGTAAATTTTAGAGATATGGTATCAAAATTTTTTTGACGATACCATAGTCAAGTCCAATAATAATAATCTTATATGATTTTATCTACATGTGTTCCTTAAAATGAGGGCAAAAAAATAGTACCACTAACTTCAACGGGTATTAAAGGTTTTTAGTGACAACTACAAAACCAATTATTAGGACTCAATGAATATAAAGATAAATGATTAGTCTTATTGAAATTGACTAACTAATTTAAAGAAGAAAAGAACTCCAATCTCTATATATCACCTCTTCTTTCTCTTTTATTGTGGTAAGGTGTAAAAATAAAGAAAAAATGGATCGATTAGTCTTTCGTATAACTTACCAAAATTCTATCCCATCGAGATTGAGAGACAAAATTTAGTAACCTCCATACTTTTCCACAAACTTCCAATGCAAACTTTATCGAGACGTAAAAATATAATATAATTTATTAAAATAATGTTGTGTCAAGTAATAGAATTTCAATGAAAAAATCAAATGGTTAGAACTACAATAATTCTATAAAAATATGTCACTGTCATTTTATTTAGTTAAATATTTATGTTTAAATAGTGTTGCTCTGTTTGCTAATCTTTTGTTAACTTGTCTTGTCTGATTGTAGACTTTTGTTGTTTTACTGTAAGATTGGTTGATTGGTTTCTCCTTTTTCTTTTGTCTTTTACTGTTGAGTAATGAGTTTTAGACATAGACCAGTCTTTTCTCTCGATGTCTAGAGTTTTGTGTGCATAAAAAAATCTACGTTATAACGATTTATAAAACCGCGTGCAACTTTTCATTAGTAATGTTAAAAGGTAAAATTCTAATTATTATAAGAATATAACTTACACTTGATTACAATATTATTGGTCGAAAATAGGAAGCATAATTCGAAAATTCCTATAATAAAAAACACCCCAAATTCCCAACATTAAACTTTCTTCAATAATGTCTTGTATGAGAATGCTAAATATAGAATGGAATACTGGAAATATATTTGTTAACAAATTGTTACCGGAAAAAACATTTAGGTTTGGATGTCATTATGAATAATTGAAACTCAAATAATTTTTTTACTAGGAATGAAATGCACATTCCTAATAAGTATCGACGGAATTGCAAAGGGGCCAAGTGAGTGAAAATTCTGCAAAAGCTAGGTAGTCATGGATTCAAGTCTTTGGGTGTAATATACAATGTAATGTGTATGTCACCGTGCTCTATCGGCGAGGAAAGACTTATTTTTAATATTTTTAGATCATTGGGTTACTCTTTGAATTGAGCCAAAATGATTGGGTTTATTTAGTAAAATTGAAGATAAACCTAGCTATAATTGCTAGATTATTAGATGAATTTTCATAAAAATAATTGGCGATGTCATAAACTAGAGTTGGTTTTGAGTTGTATTTTAAGTGATTCTATGAATCATTCTAAATTTATATAAAATTGAATTAACTTTCTCAATTTGGTCGAAAATAAATGATAATCTAATGAATCATTCTAAATTTGATTTTGACAGGTTTTATTGAAGTAAAAATTTGACATTAATGACATGTCACTGTTAGACTTCCCTTAAATAAAATCTTAATTCTATGTCTTGTAATTACATTAGGGCTAATCTCAACTTGTACCCTGAAAGATTATTCAAATCTTAATTTATACTTTCAAAGTTTAAAAATATTAATTTATATCTTGAAAGATGTAAATTCGTATCAATGTGCACGAGGCTAACTTGGTCAATTTTTTCGTTAAAAAATTTTGGGTTAATTTTAAATTATAACTTCTAAGTTTAAATATTTGATATATATGATCCAAAAAAATTTTCATCTATTAATGTTCATTAAATAACTCTCAATTGTATCGTATTATATTATCTTCGTGTCGTGTTCAAGTCAATAAAAAATATTTTTTAAAATTTTAAAAAAATCATAAAATATTTATTTTTTGCCTACAATACTTGTTAAATAACAATATTCTGTCTACAGTTAGACACAATCTTTTGATTGTCCGACCAAATTAAAGTTAGATACGAATAACATAACTGTAGATAAAAAATAGTTATTTAACAAGTATTATAAACAAAAATTGGTATTTTTTAATTTTTAAAAAATATTAAATAGTATTGTATGAATTGTCGCAGATGTGAAATATAAGACATAACGTAATTGACTTGACACGAAAATATTTTTTTATTGATTTGAACACGACATAAAAATGTTATGATACGATATAATTAAGAGCTATTTAACGAGTATTAATGGATAAAATTCTTTTTGAATCATAAATGTAACAATTTTAAATTTTGAGGAGTGCAACTTATAATTAATCCAAATTTTTTTAACGGCAAAATAGATAATAGTTAATTTCAAGTGCACATTAATACGTATTTATATCTTTTAAGATATAAATTAATATTTTTAAATTTTGAGAGTATAAATTGAGATTCAAATAATCTTTGATGATGTAAGTTGAGATTAGCCCATAAAATTATGGGTCAATTGCACTAGTAGACCCTGAGATTTGTCTCTTATTAGACTTTAGTCTTTAAAATTTTAATTTCACCAATTTAAGGATCAAAGTTCACAAGTTGAACTAATGTAATTCCTAACACTATCTGTAGTTCAAATTATTGACGAAAAATGTCAAGTGTTTGGCACATGAAAATGTTAAGGGGTATTTATGTCACTAGCCAACACTGTTTTAGCCAAACGCACTAGCTCCTAATTTGAACAACAATGCATTCGAACCAACACACACTCCTTCTTCTTCTGGTTTTCTCCTTTGTTTTTTTTTTTGGTTAAATTTCTTCTTCTTTTCTCCAAGAATCACAAAATACAGTGTCTTCGGTCAACATAAAACACACGTTTGCTCTCTCTCTCTCTCTCTCTCTCTCGCTCTCTCTCTTTCTCTCTCGATACATGGTATATTCCCACTCCGGTT